CTGTCACTATGGCAACTGGGAGGCAGCTGAGGACTCCAAGACAGAGGGAATGCTGCAGCAGTCTGGCCTGGGTATGGCCAGGTGCATGCCGGGCGCTGCCTTAGGCCTGAGTTTGGGGACCCAATCCCCACAGGAACACGCTGAAGGTTGTGGTCTGACCAGGAAGACAGACAGGGGCTGGCCGCCACACAAACCTTCCTGAACCCTGACCCAGGCCCCAAGGACTGATTGCCAGGCTCTAGGGCACCGCCCCCAAGTCCCCCCAAAGCCCTTCCCCAAAGCCAATCCCCAAGCCAGGTTTGAGTGCCCTCCAGAACTCAGGATTCAATGATGCTCCTCCTGCTCACCCAGCTCTGGGGTCCCCTCATCCTCCCTAGGCCTTGGGATCCTCCCTGTCAGAGCCTGGCGCAGCAGCCCCATACCTAGCAGCGCCTCCCCCAAGGCCCTGTTCCCACCCACTTGCTCCCTGGCTGCCCCTCCCCTCCAATACTTGGACCTCCCATAGCCCTGCCCCCACACCCTGTCCTCATCACTGGGAAGCCCCCTGGGAGCATCCCCCTCTCCCGGCCCCCAACCCTGACTGATGTGCCCAGCCCTGCTGCCTTCCAGGGCTGAGGGTGAGGAGGCGGGGCGAACATGCAGCCCAGGGTTTAGGATGTGGGTGCTGTCCTGTGATGACCCGCCCTACCTTGCACAGCCGCGGCCCCGGATTCCCGGGGCGAGAAGAAGGCTGTGGGCCACAGGAAGAAGGACCAGAGCAAGGACAGGCACCGCCAATGTCTGGGTGCCCTGAGCTCCCCTAGTCTGTCCAAGCTGCCCCCCTGTCGAATCCCAGCAGGGCATCCCAGGCGACCACCCAGAGGCGCTACAGCGGGATGGTACAGCAGGACCACGCAGGAGGAGCTGGCCTGGAAATCTGTGGACAGGCCTGCTGAGATTGCGTAGAGGGGAGGCTCTTGGTGAAAGGGTTAGGAGAGGTTAGGAGAGCCATATCTCCCCCAGCTAGGAGCTCCAACTGGGTCACAAAGTTCCCCCAAGTGGAATCTCCTCCCACCCTACCCCCAGCTTGATGCATCCTGGAACAGCCTCACCTCCATGGCAGGCCCATCTCGCTGCCTTCAAGTCAGTTCTGATTCCCAGTGATCCAACAGGACAGGGCAAAACTGCCATTGTGGGTTTCAGAGGCTCTGCATCGGTATGGAAGCACACAGCCTCCCTCATCTTCCCCCCACGGAGCTGCTGGTGGGGTCACCTGCTGGCTTTACGGTCAGCAGCCCAACGGGGAGCCACTGCAGGACCCGCGTGTCTTCTATCCCAAGCAGGGGACCACTAACCTGCCCTTGAGGTGGGGGTCTCCAGGGCCTGCCAAAAGCTAAGGTCTCTCAGCACTTCTGGCTCCTCTTAGGCCCACCCTCTGAGTGCCTGGGCCCTATCCCCACTCAAAGCTAGGAGGGTCACGGGCCCTCTGCTCTGGGGAAGGGCCCATTGAAAATGTCAGCTGCAGCTCTGACCTCTGCTTCCCCTCTGCGAGGAGTTAAGGGCTGGGCAGAAGCTTCCTCCACAGTCTTAACCTGTGTCCTAAGTCTGGCATTCCACCTCCCCTAGGAAAGCTACTGGCTCTTCCAGACTGCCTGGGGAGGGCTGCCTCTGTCTCTCCCTCCTTTCTTCCAGACCCCCACCTCCTTTTAGCCTGAGGGCTAGGGAGGGCATTCGATGAGATGAGGGAGGCTGGCATGGAGCTGTTTACATATAGTTGCGGGAGCTCTGGGGCATTCACAGGGTCGGAGGTACAGTGAAGACTGGGTGACAGTTATTGTTGTTAGTTGCCATTAAGTGGACTCTGAGTTAGAGCAATCCTGTATTCAACAGAAGGAGAAAAAAAAAAACACTGCTCTCCAGTGCTGGTCCCCCGTTGCAATCACTGTGTGCTTTCTCACCTAAGGGACTCCCCTTCCCGCACGACAGTGGACAGTGTCTCTTATCCTCCATCCGGTTTTCATTGGCTGATTTTCTGAAGTAATAGGTCAATAGGCTTTTCTTCCCCTTTCTTTGGAGACTGTCTTAATCTGTGAGCTCCTCTGAGACGCTCCACCATAGGTGACCCTGCTGGTATTTGAAATACGGGTGCTACGATGCCCAGCAGCACGCAAACCATTGCAGTACGAGAACTGAACAGATGCTGGGGAAGGCGACAGTCAGCATGAAGTCATGAGCCTAGAAGAAGTCAATCAGCAAAGCAGCTCTTCATCTCAGCCCTAACACTCTTGAGTTCCTCGTGAGTTGCAGGAGGAGGAACTGGCTATAGGAAGCAAATGAAGAGCCCATCTCAAGGAGGAGGAGTGAGCAAACACCACCCCCCTAGACTGGACAAGTAAAACACAAACAGCCTCATGGCCATGGAGTGAATTCTGACTCCTAGTGACCCTACAGAAAGAACAGGGTAGAATTGCCCCTGTGGGCTTCTGAGACTGCAACTCTTTACCCTGTAGGCTTCTGAAACTGTAACTCTTCACCCCGTGGGCTTCTGAGACTGTAAC